CCATTAGTTTTTAAGTCTCCTACTCGCCTCTTACAGCTACGGGAAAGGAAGGAGTGGTTTATTCTATGCCGGGCCACACGACAAATCCTAAATATAGCGAAATATCGGTCTATACTTTGTATTTTTAAACGAATTTCACCTCACAATTGTCTAGTGCCAACCCTAGGATCAAGAGCATAGCTTTTAGTTGTGGGCAAAGATATATCTATATATGCACCTTCATACCAAGCCTCTCTCATGGTGCTCCGCCAGTGTACACCGATAGCGCAGGCGAGGTTACCATGCCATTTACGCCAATTAAAAAAATATCATACCGAGCTTGGTCCCCTCCTCCTCCCCCTGGAACATAATCTTAAATACGCCAATGCATCTTTTGGTTAGCTAAAGTATGGACGCTCATTATAAAATATGGACCTTTTGCTATTATTATTTATGTAAGTACCGCTCCATACAGATAACATATCAGCTGCTTAATACACGTGCACCTATGTTGCTGACATCACAAGTTAATCAGTTGTAGAGTAATTAATTTCGGTACAACCTATCAATATTTAATATGTCATTTTGCATATTGTTCAAGAGCGTTCAGAGTGTAACAGTAATTTATGTAAAATGAAAGAACAGTATTATTAGTACAAAATTGGAGTTGTTGTTTTGATGTTAAAATATTCCATGTAGTAGTTGCCACGCTTGGCAAGCGGGTTGGCAACTGCAGTTAGGCTTTTAGTGATATTTTAAAAGGAACGCTGCTGCTAATCCCTATACCATTAAGTTCCCTCAGTCGTCTCTTACGACACCCATGGGAAAGTAAGGGGTGGTCCGTTCTATGCTAGGGCCATACGGCGAACACTCTGTTACTTACCACGCTTAAATTATGAGTACATTAAAATTGAAAGAGTACCAAAAGATCTTTTTAAAATTTATTTTAGTCTAAAAGTGAAGTAAACTATGTATACGGGTTGGATATTTTTTAAATTATCTTTCAAAATGGAACAAAATATGTCAACAATTTTCTATAAATTATCCGTCGGACGAGTGGTGAAAATTGTGCTCGTATTCTGTCGACAAAGTTTTAAGAGTGCAGATCAAAGACTCTGATGGTTTGAAATATTGGCGGCATCGCTCGTGAATGCTGATCGAAGGGAACTGTGGCAAATAATAAAAGAATGTATATTCATCGTTGAACACTTTTTCAGGATTCCGCAGATAAGCGACACTTTGTACTGTCCGTTTATTTCTCTGGTTTAGTTTAGTTACTGAAGTCGTGAGTTTGAATCCAGTCTTCATAGAGATTGTGTATCAATAAAAATGTACAACTAACTGATGCAGATATAATTAAAATACGCAGATTTTAATAACAAGTAAAAATGTATAAAATATTTTTTATATGAATATAATGTTTTATTGGATTCTAATATGCTTTAGGCTTCAATATATTTATTTTTAAAAAGTAAATTCAATTTATTGAATGAAGTTCTTCTAAAGCCTTTCCAATTTTTTTTATTTTTTTTTGATCTCACCTATCAACTCTCACTGGAGCCCTGCTAGCGTGTGCCGTTAGCGTAGGCGGGCGTACCATTCCATTACCATCCATTAAAAAAAAGGCTTTCCTATTTGCTTGCATACTGATTGGTTATAATTGTTTTTTATAAAAATTGATTGATTAAGGCATAGACTATACATATAATTCTTACATGTCCTCTTTTATTTATATTATAAAAAATTATAGAACATTATTATAACGCAAAAAAAAAAGTAGAAATTAGTAACTTGAAATGAAATGAAAATTAAATTGTTATTGAGAAATTTTGGGTTCTTAATCCAAAAGAAAGCTACAGAACCTATTCAACGAGTGGCCGATACGAGTCAAGTTGAAATGTAAGTAAAACCATAGTTGGTTTTACAGAACCTATTCAACGAGTGGCCGATACGAGTCAAGTTGAAATGTAAGTAAAACCAACTATGGTTTTACTTACATTTCAACTTGACTCGTGTCAGCGTAATGGGATTACTCGTAAATGTAGAATCTGCCAACTTTGTATGCTTCTGTCGGCATTAGATTGTATGTTGAACTAGTTTTTTGTCCTATTATCACCATTTTTCTTTTCACTCAAAGCATTCAAAAAGAAAGAAGTACACCTTTTAAATGTTTTAACCTTTTTATTTTTTTTTAAAATCTCCGTTAATTATAAAGCGATTTTAAATTTCAAGGTCAAGATCAAGGTCGCATTTTTATGGTATACAATTTTAACGACTACGGACAGGTGTTCTTGACTTTATTAAAATATTAAAAGGATTTCAGTTTTATGTCTATTTTATTATAATAACGGTCTTCGTTTGCCAGATTTATATGTCATTTTATAAAAATATATATTTTAACCGTGCTTGAACATAATTTCAAATTATCTCTTCGCATAGAATTAATTCCATCGAAATAATTTGAACAATTTAATTAGTAAATACACATATAGATTAATATACTTTTATGGAATACTATTGAGGTGCTATTTATTTGTAATATTTATTTTATTTTTTTATAATACCATTGTTGTGTTTTTGTGCATTTTACATGTTAATATTATAAGGTAAGGTAATCGAAATAACTTTATTTTCCTGCAATATTTTCACGAAAATACTGAACAGACTTGTTCTATTTTCACAGTATTATCCTGTGGATTGGTATACCACATCATAGAGTAGGCAAGTAAAGAGGATTTCGAGCTCAGCGGCAACAGTGAGGGCGATAAAGTGGCCAAATTTTGCGTTCGCTTAGTCGCGCTAACGTTTTGGTTTAGTGATGCGACGTTAGCAAACAAATATCGATAAATTACGTACATTTAGTTATTTTTTTTTTCCAGATATTATATATATTTTGATCGTTGGTTTCCATTTATGAAAATAGATACAATAAATATAAATTATCTATAAATGTTCTTCTTTTATATAAAGCAGTAGTAAACGAGCATGCTGCTCATCTGTTGTTAAGTGGTCAGCGCAGCCTATAAATACTAACAATAAGTTACCGGCTGAGGTAGTCTCTTTTTGAAGATTCTTAAATTGTATTTTTGTTTTTACCACATTTTTACAGTCCGAAACAGGAAATTGAAAATTAAATAGAAAATACTGCCACACTATAATATATTATGTATAATAATAGTGTTAAGTGAATTTATTTATTTTATATTCTCATTTGTTTTACTCGTATTTATGTTGTTTAGTAACTGTCCTTGAGGGATTGTGTTTTAGTTTGAAGGGTGGGATATGGCGATGAAATTACAGAGTACAGAGGCATAATACCCTACTCCTCAGGAATGGCTGCGCATAAGGAGTATCATGGGCGATACAGTATACTTTGTTATGCCCATATCACTGTTCATCTCTATGGTACGATTACTATTTTCCATCACGTGGGTGGTCAACCTGTTTGCCATTCTAAGTTGCATAAAAAAAAATTATAGTCAACAGTTGATTTGTAACAATAACTACAATTATTATTTAGATTATTAATTCAAACAAACCCGCATCTATCTTAATGATTTGTGTGCGATTAGGTAACGTGAAAGGTTGGATATTAATTAAATATTTTTTTATTTAAAAATTAAATTGAATTTGGCCGTTTGTTTTAAATATTTTTTATATCGATATATTTATCGACATTATTATATCACTAGTGACTGACAAATGTATAATAGGCAACACGCTTTTGTGAATTATTTACTACATGAATTTTAAACAAGTTGAAATTGAATTTTGAGGAATTTCATTTCAATCAGAATAACGTTGACTTAAATTGTCGCAAACAAATTGAAAAGAAAGGATTAAAAGTCAGAAAATCCTACTATATAATCCTTATATATTATTTTTGTAAAAAAAATCTTAAAATATCTGAATTTATTAATCTGTAAATTAATATCATTGTTAAAAGTGTTTTTGTCATTTTAACTCGTAAAGGTATGTGTTTTAACAGGGCGAAATCCAGCACAGATTTCGTGATACAATGTTCATCGGAGGAACGAGCTCGAAATACGGAAATATTTTCTGAACTTTTGAATATACAATCTGCAGTCATATAGACAGAATTCAATTCAACAGGTCTGCAATCCAGCTCTTAGTTTTCATTTTAAAATTTTCCATGTTTAGTTCCTAACCGATCGATTTTGAAATTTATTTAATACTTAACTAGAACTTACTATAGTTGAGTCTGAAAGTGAGAAATATAAACGATCTCGCGGTTTAGACGTTCGGACTGATTTTGAAATTAAAGATATTTTTTTCAACTCAATAGTAACAGTTAAGAAAAAAAAAAATCAAAGTCACTTTTCGAATTTGGACTACGAAAGACTATAGGTGAGAATGAATAGGTCAGTTAACCCATCGTGTTCATAGGATGATAATGGAATGGTAGCTCCGCCTGCGCTAATGGAATATGAAGGTGAGAAACCAGTTAGCCCATCGTGATTAATACACCTGTAATTCAGCACTATGGTTTTCAGGGGGGACCACATGGAGGTCGACCTGACATAGCATATTGCTAGCAATGGGACTGGTAGTTCGCATTACTAACAATTTTTTTCCTCCCAACAAATCGTGTTGATTTCACCAAGAATAAACTACGATGGTTTCCAGGGGGACCGTGTGGAGGTCGATCTGATAGGATATATTAACTAGCAATGGCGCTTTTAGAACCCATTACTAACAATCTCTTCCCCCTTGAAATAGGCATTAAGTGACATGAACTTAAATAGGTACGAATATACCGAGTAAAAGATACCGAGTCATTACAAATTATTTTTTGGATTTTCCTCGTGTTTCGAAGGGCATGTAAAATTATTATTCGGTAAACCACATCAGAGGTCTTGTATTATGTTATCTGTGGTTTAATAAAGGTGGCCTCGAATTTCTTGATAACAATCCTTATTCGAGTAATACTAGTGGCATAGATAATATAACACTATACTCGTACTAGTCTAGTAGTGGGATAAGAAAATATTATTACTCACTCCAAACGTGAACGCTCCACCCGTGATGCTTCTCCTCCTCAGCATTCCCTGAAGCCTGCATCTGTGTCTCCGAAGCCTCAGCTTCTGGTAACGTTCGCCAGCGTTTGAGGAGCTCTTTGGTCTTATCCTTTGTCTTGTCGCATGCTTGACGCCAGTTCGTGAAATACTTTCTGGACACCTTGGGACTTGTAAGACTTGCGGATTTGGAGTCTTGTCTGTAAAAAAAAATGTATTATCTTGCTAATATTATAAATTAAGTAATCTCAGCGTAGAATGGGCCACCCCTTCCTTTTCCATGGGTGTCGTAAGATGCGACTAAGGGCATTTAATGGTCAGACGATGTTTAACGCTCCTCTTAAAACATCATCAAAGCCTAACTATGGTTGTCAACCCGTCTGCCAAGTGTCATAACTACTAGCAAAGTTCTATCCCCCTTATGGAAAAGGTCTGTGTTCAGCAGTGGACAGCTAATGGCTGATATGATGATGACGGCAGGCACGAGACAGTATAAAAAAGTTTTTTAAGCTGACCCGACCAAGAATCGAAGCCGAAACCTTATTACGGCATGCCGTATCGCTTACCGCTTCACTGAAGGTACACTGCATAGCGTAATCCTTCGAGTAAACATGAAAAGTAATTCGTAATCAGAGATTAATTTGTAAATGAAATCTATACCTATTATTTAATAACGTTATTTATTTAATAATATTAGAAGAGATTAAACTTAAACTCTTCCAATAATTAAGATTCCACAAATTCCACAAAAAAACTGACTTTAATTATAACAAAATGTAATATTTTGATTATAAAGATTCTATTTTGATTTATAAAGTAAACTACTGAATTGATTTTGATTTCTATGGGATCAATTTGAAATATATATTATTTCAGATAAAAAAAGTTTTTTTTAATTGGTTTATAACTGACGGAGTTATGAGGTAACAAATGTAAAAAAAATACCACAGAATTGAGAATCTCCTCCTTTTTTAACTGACTTCAAAAAAGAGGTTCTCAATTCGATTGCATTATTTTATGTCTGACACCTCGTAACTGCGTCAGTCTTAAATCGATTTAAAAGATTCTTTTTATCTGAAAGGATATAGTTACACATTGGTCCCATAGAAATTTTATCAAAATGATAACACATTTTGAGTAATTTAGTTTTGAAATTAAAACAACTCGTTTTGCTACAATGGAAGTCGGTTTTCGAAAATTCCAATTTCTGTTTTTAGAATTTGGCTAACAACATCTGATATTGATATTCGATTAAAAAGTAACTGAAGCATTTGTTCTGCCTCGTTGCCAAAATCGCTAAGCCAATCAGTAATACAGGACGGCTTTTGTTTCGGTAGTGTGCTCAATTTATGGGCACGACTGTTGCATAAAAAGAAATAGAGATAAATCGACACTAGCTCTGATGTTTTGTTTTTATTTTGTTTCCCATCTCAATTGTTATAGGTACGAATATGGTTAACGCCTATATATTTTGTACATTGTATTCATTATAAACGAACCAAAAGTAGAAGTAAAAAGACAATTGAAAAGAGTAAGAGAAACAGTTGCCGTATTAGTCTAGCGTATATAAAAAAAAATTGTACTTTTACAACCAATTCTGACCATCTGGAAAACTATCATTAATTTACCAAGCCTTTAATTATATTACTAAGCATTTAGTTAACCTTTTATCATCATCATTTCAGCATATAACTGTTCACTGTTGATCATAAGCCTTCCCTATAGGGAGAGTTCTGCCAGTTGCTACGCTTGGCAGGGTTGGCAAACGCAGTTTAGCTTTTAGAGATATTTTAAGAGAAATGCTGCTGCCCATTTCTTTAACATTCAGTTTCTTTAGTCGCCTCTTACGATACCCACAGGAAAAGAAGAGGTGGCCTATTCTATGCCGGGATCACACGGCCATAACCTTACCAACCCTAATTTATCCAACATGGACTCACACTTTGTTTCGACTATGTCGAAAATTACACCTTCAAAATACTAATATTGCATCTATTACATTGTGTTTTACAATCCTGATGATAATAATAATAATAATAGATTGTCTGTAAGAGATTGCTTTTCATGTTAAGTCCACCTTTTGTATATACACATTCTGTATAAATACTTCTAGTATACATATATATCTCTTGTACGCAATAAAATGTTATTATTATTATTATATTAAAAATATGCAAATTACATTGTCTTTCATTTCTATATTTTTATTCATCATGTCCTATCACAATGTGTATTTTTATATTACATTGCCTAAGGGATATTATGCCCCTTGTGAGTCAGCAAAGGGCTTTCTAAACAGGGTCGACTGATATATCGGATGCTCTAACCCAACATAACGTTTAATCAAGGCATTGTTTTGGTGATTGTGTTTAGTTGGACAATATATCATGTAGCTTAATAGTTATTACATTGAAAATACGGCGGGATCAGATAAGTGCCCACTATTCCCAAATTCCGTGATCACAGTGCGTGACAACGACCCCCAACGAAATACCTCTCGGCACGAACTTTGCCAACTTATTACTGGCTATTATCCGAAATGCTTTTGGGTACTATTGATCATTCTTGTTGCGTACGTTGTGTCCAAATCGATTCCATGTTGTTGGATGTTGTTGAGGTTAGTAGAGCAAACCTAGTGGCGTCTAAATAAAAAAAAAATCAAGATAAGGGTTTTTAAAAGTAACTATTTTTTTTATGCAACTTAAAATGGCAAACAAGCTGACGGTCTACAGACATAAGCAATACCATGGACATAACAAAGTATACTGTTTCGTCCATGATACCCCTCATGCGTTACCATTCCTGAAGACCCAGGTGTTATTCCTCTGTACCCTGTAAGTTCACTGCTATATATACTCACCTTTAAACTGATTCAAAACTATGTAGACACAACTGCTTCACGGTAGAAACACGAATGGGACAGAGGTGCCCAAGCAAAAGACTTGTACAAAGTCTCCCTCTGGTATTTAAGACATTATTAGTGCAGATTTACATTAAGTTAGTCAATATCAAAAGGGCTCAGTATTGATACTCTACTGCCTTCGTAAAAAAAGTGTTACACTGATATAAAATTACAATAATGGATAACATATTTATTTTTTTTTAATAAAATGAAATAATATTTATTGATTTAAAGACACTTTTACATCGATGATTGATTCTACAAATTAGCTAATATATAAAGACACATAATAAAAAATAATGCGCATATATATAATTATTTTAGATGAATGCGTTAAATATATAAGTGCTTAATAATAACAATATCTTTTTTTATGAGTTTTTATGAAGATTTATACTTAGTCATTGCCCGCGGCGTTGCTCGCTCCTATGTAGTTCCCGTATATCATTCCCATTGGAGCTGTTCATGAATCTGGTCTTACATTGTATTATACACTTAAACGATAATTAAGTACCTAACACCTTCATAAAGTTTCAGTCAATTCAACTGATTGATTATTTTAATAGCATTTTATATATGATTCTTTAGATTGATATAACTTTTTTATTTATGAACCGATTGAAATAAAACAAAAACTAAATGTTAAGTAGAGTAAAGCGCAACAAATTAGTGGAAATCGTGTTCAAATCGGTTAAGCCGTTTCTGAGATTAGTGCCCAAAAATGTATTTATCTATACCTTAGATATAGATAAAAATAACTATAGACAAAAAATCTAAAAATCATCGTTTTGGGTTCTATTGCATTCATAAAACCCCATACAATAGTTTTTTTTTTATATATCTTCCATGTACAGACAGCGACCAGTTAAGATTTTATTATATGTATTGTTAATAATTTAGTACATAATTACTGTCATTGTCTTTAATGTTCAATTTATACGCAGTCAATGCTGACCCTCTACTACATTAGTGTAAATTGAAATGCGACAGTGCTGCACTAACTGGAAATCAATTTAGACGATGGAAGTATTTGGTTAGCACTGACTTGTTTCAAGTTTGGAGTTAGTAACTAACCAAATGTAAATAGTACCAAATACAATGAAATCTAAGAATTTGTTGATAAAAAGTATTTCAAAATTTAATAGATAATATTATCCTAAATTTGTTATTATAGAATTTGTTAGAGTTACATTCAAAATAGTCATCAGAAATATTAGATTGTAATTGAAAATGGTTTTTGACAATTGATTAATAATGCAAATGTTGCCAGAATTTGATATTTACCTTCTAAAGATATTATTTATTATAATGTTAAAAAGTACACAATATAAAAGATAAATGATGCTTTCAGGAATATAAGTTGGGCGAGAATCTGTTAAGTGCATATTTATAAAGAGCTCCGTTTTTTCCACCGCAATATTGTAAATCTAATTAAGATTTTTAAGCTCTTGCCAGAAACTGTAAAGTATTACAGTGTATAGCGGTATTGTACTGTACTTTACACAGAATACTAACATATAATTATTTAGAAAAACTATATATAAGGTACCTTGAACTATAGGAGTATTCTTGTATCGAGTAAAAAATAATCTACATACAGAGTTGTTTATTCGAAAATAACTCAACAGTGAGTATTTGTGGTGGCATCTAATTAAGTCATCTGCCACTTCCATCACTATAGCCAAAAGGCTTATATTTATAATGTATTTATTTATGTGGTATAGATACACATAAAAATAATGATTAAATAAATAATTAGTGTATTAGTTACAAAGCTTCTGAGTACAAATTTTTAATTAAATTAATATTTAGCTAATCTAAACACGTGCAGTTTGCTAATAAACGGTACAAGTATCTACCTATTATCAAAAACCTTGCGTGTGTGTTATCGATACACTCCATTCAATATTACTCTTATATTGTACTGTATTATCAAAATATGTTCAGGTTTTCTGTATATTGTTTTCATTGGACAATAGTTTTGATGAATATTGGCTTTATCAGTATTGAAATGGTACTCAAATATAACAATAAGAGTAAGCCCGTATTGTGCACCGTATTTTTTACGCAATTTTATTCGTATAGAAATTGTATGAATACTTGTTCAAAAATCCAATGTTATACAAGGATTAAACGGATGTTAAGTTGAAAATATGAATGTTATTTAGGTATATATCTATGACTTGGCATACCATAGGCAGATCATACCATAAGTGTACTATTTTATTAAATATAGTACCAACCCATCTCGTAGTTCACACACGCGTGATTGATATGAATGGTTGCATAAATACCTGGCAAGCGCAATGCACCTTTTTACGAATATGCATGCAGTTTTTTGCTTTGCTTCGTAAAGAAAAACGTTAATTTCAATTGTAGTAAAGTTAAAGTGAATCCAACATGGGAATAAACCCTATTGACTGCAAAAATAATTGTGAATATTGTTTTAGGCCCAGGTAGCAAGGTGACGTCTGCAATTCAAAAAAGACATCAGTTTTTCATTTAGATTTTTTTAGTCATTTTAGGGTTAGCGACTGAAAATCCACGTCAATATGACGAATAATTGCTAACTTAAATTCTCCAAGTTGCAATTATATATAATATATATAGCTTATATAGCAGGCTATATAAGCGTAAAAATAGTCGTAAAAAATCGAAAAAGAATTGCTTAAGATAGATAAGAATTACTAAAACATATATAGATTTTTTAATGGGTGATAATGGAATAGTAACCCCACCCGCGCTAATGGTATACACCGGCAGGTAACCAGTGAAGGATGATAGGTGAGGATGAAACAGGTCAGTTAGCCCATCGTGACGAATTCAACAAGAATTATTCACGATGGTTTCCAGGGGGAACCACGTGGAGGTCGATCTAATAAGGCATATTACTAGCAATGGAGCTGTAAATTCCATTGCTAACAAGCCCTTTCCTCCCTATATGGAATATTGCCATGTGGTCTCGGAATAGTCACCACTTCCTTTTTCTGTGGATGTCGTAAGAGGCGACTGAGGAAACATAATGGTCGAGGGATAGACAGCAGCATTCCTTTTAAAACATCACCAAAGCCTAACTCCGGTTGCAAACCTGCCTACCAAGCGTGACAGCTACTGGCAAAACTCCCCTTATTGGGAAGGCCAGTTCAGCAGTGGACAGTTAACGGCTGGTAAGTATGATATATATAAGATATTATAGATAACATGTATATATAACAGACTAACCTCTCAAATGTGTCCTTTGAGCTCTCACTAGCCTTGGACAGGCGTCGCTCCCTTCTTAGTCCTGTGCCGTCATCGCTGGGGGATTTCTCCGGAGGTAGTTTGAGTTCCTTCTCAGATTTACTACTGGACCGTGAGGATTTTCCGTCGTCGTTGTCTTTCTTGAGCGCCGGCTTCACTGGCGACAGGCTGCCGGGCTTCTCATGTTTTTTCATCTCCATACTGATACGTGGCTGCTCATCCTCGCCGTTTTGCTGTAACAAACATTAGCCAAATGTAAAAATAAGTTTTTATTTTATGTAACTTAGGATGGCAAACAAGCCGACTACTATTTCACCTATGATACGCCTCATGCGTTGCCATTCCTGAGGACTCAGATGTTGTTTCTCTATACCCTCTAAATTCACTTCCATGTCCCACCCTTCAAACTGAAACACAGCGGGGGGAAAGGAATTGTTAGTAATGGGATTAAAGGTCCCATTGCTAACAATATACCTTATCAGGTTGACTTCCACGCGGTTTCCCCTGAAAACCAATTTGATTGTTTTTTTATGAATTCATCACTATGGGCCAACTGACCTGCTATTAGCTTCATCTATCATCCATCACTGTTGCCTCGCCAGCGTATATTGATAGCGCGGGCGGGGCTACTATTTAATAATCATCAATTAAAAAAAAAAAAAAACTAAAAACAGCCATACAAACACAATTGATTCACGGTAGAAACACGAATGGACCAGAGGTGCCCAAGCAAACGGCTATTGTACAAAGTCTCCCTGAAACGATTAAATAATTAAATAATGTAAAGTAAAATAAACACATCCAAGATAGAAGAGCACTAGGGTGTAAAAATAGTGTAAAAGGTTCACGGTACTCATTCTTGAAGACATAGGTGTCTGTGAAGATACATCCTTATCTTTATTCTTATGGTATGTGTATAGACCTTTACCATTGAATAAGGATAAAAGAATTATTGAATCTTATGTGAGTATGGTACTGTAATTTTATTTCAATATCGCATCCTTTAAACTGATTCGTTACTTCTATAATGTAATATTTTAATAATTTAATATTTTTTTTTTTTTTTTTTATAATTTTAAATGGAAAGTGGTACTTATTCACAGAGAAAATAACAGAGTACTATTTAATATTCATCTAAATTCACGTTCAAAATCTATGGAAAACTGTACTGCTAATATATTTAGAAAATCTAACTTTGTTACTGTATACAAGAATACTCTGGTAATATAGTTAAATATCCACTTACGAGTATTATAACTATAAAGATATTTCTACCTCATGTTTCATGTATAAAGTACAATTACTTTGCTTTATATATATATATATATATATATATATATATATATATATATATATATATATATATATATATATATATATCAGTTGTAAAATATTGTAGCCATCTTTGTAATTTATATAGGTGTTCACCTATTGTGAATGAGGAACAACAATGTAACAAACAAGCTTTGCAGCGAAATGTTACGGTACTCATAAAGAATGAAAACAGATTTTAGTAAAAAGGGTTTCCGAGTCATTTGTTATATATTTTTACGGTATTTTTTACTAAAATAAAAAATAAAATGCTGCTTTTTAAATGAGTTGGAATGGCAAATAAGCGGATTGCGTTTGATGGAAAATGTTAACCGCCGCCTATAAAAATGAACAGCCCCACAGACATCATCGAAAACATGCAATACCTTTCTTTCATAGAGTATAAGCCCTTGTTTTATAAAAAAAAATATGCCCTCCAAATATGCTTAAATATAAAGAATATTTTTTTAGAATTTTTTTTCTTATACCACTGAGGTGGCAAACAAGCATACGGCCTGATGGTAAGCGGTTACTGTAACCTATGAACGCCTGTAATACCAGGGGTATTACGCGCACGTTGCCGACTTTGAAGAAACCTCTTTATTAACCTCGTCGTTGCACTAAGTCGAAGGGTTCAAGCTGATATCTTGGTGCTCCTGCCCATAAGTAACAGAAATACTCCATGAGGCCAGATTTTTCATTTTTGAAATGTGTTTAATTTTAGAAACCTGTATTTAGGATAATAAATTATATGGAAAGTTCTAATGTAGAGAATGCCCGATTTTAGAATTGGCTCCATACCAATCCAGTTACCAAATCTCCAAACGTATTAAAACTTGGCTAATAGGTGCCTTTGGCAGGCGACCCAATAGTTGAAAGAAATAGTACGTACATACAACCCACACTGTAACTACAGATTGGATCTGAATTATTGATAGTTGTGATGCAGACACGGATTCACGTGGGATTAAGGGACAGCGGACATTCATCCTCCATTTGTCTACCTCTATAAAAGGTTCAGTGATAGTACTCATAAAATATTCTTAGTTTATTCTGTACTTCAATTTACATTGCATTGCGAGTTATTAATGTCTTTTTTAACGTCTCATCATCTATTCATTCTATAATTACGTATTTATAAATCTGAATTTTAATGAGGATTGTTGAAATTTTAATAAACTTTATTATACAGAATCGTTTCCGTTATTTTATATTATTAACTAGTTGTTGGTTATTTGGTTAGTATTACTATTATTATGACATAAACTTCCATAAAATAAGCCGTTTACCCTCCTTATGAAAAATGGTAAACTAAATAAATTCTATGATACCTAAGGTACCCCATTAGTAGTCATTATTGAGGGCTAAGGTGTTATGCTTTATTCAAATTTAAATTTGGAATCGACTACACTAGTATAGAGTAGACAAAATACCTTTTTAGTGGCACAAATGATTAATCTGTATCGTACTTCTCTGCTATCTTTGTAGTTTGTGTCCATTTTTAAGTATCAACGTAAATTGACCAGCTACGCTGAGCTATAGATCTTCAAATAGCTGAATCGCGTGGTCGGTTAAATCGCTTGCCAATAGTATCCCCGTTATCCATTCTTAAGAAACATTAAACCTCAACAGGTGAGTCATTAAAAACAGATTAGCCTTGGCAAAATTTGGTGCAAACATTTTCTGGAAATCGTACAGATATTTTCCTTCTTCTGAAAGTTTGACACGTAGGGCAAAACTTTTATTCGATTATTTCTCGTAAGTCGAATTTTGTGTAATTCACATCTTCTTCAGATAGTACGTCAAAATGTGAGAGACTTCAAAAAGAAGGGGGTTTTTTATGTTTGGCACCACATAACTTCGTCAGTTATAAAACAATTTGGAAAATTCTTTTTTTTTAATTGACAGGATATAGTTACAGATTATTTCTTTGAAAAATTTATCAAAATTGGTTTAGTACTTTAGTTTTTAAATTAAAATAACTTGTTTTGCCACAACTGAAGTAGATCTTTTTTGAGGAACACAGGCTTAATTTTTTGTACAATGATCTGATCATCTCTGTTAACGATGGATACACATTTATATATGATTGTTGATGTGTTTGGGTGTTTGTGCTTTTAGGTTAAACTTAGTACAAAGATCAAAACTAAGATTCGTATCGAATATTTTTAACGTGGACAAATCCGTATGACGCAGCTAGTAATGTTTATACATTCGTAATGATAAAAACTAAATTAATTTAAAAATAATTTATCAAAAAGCTATTTGTGGCCAACTTTGATACCTAACTTCTTTTAATAAAAGAAGTTGATTTGCATGATAATTCCGTGAATATTTTTTTACACATTAAGAGATTGTTTTCGTAAAAATTTATTATTTTTAGTCACTATTTCCAACATTTGATAAAAAAAGAAAGGCTAACATAAGGATAAATAAGAAAACGGGCAATTCAAGTAAATAGCTAGAATAATGGGATTGATTTCTGTTCGGTAAATTGAAAAAAAGACCAATGTGGATTTCCGGAACCGTCATAACTCACGGACAATATCTTGTGTCCACTTCACATGAAATATGGACTCAATCACTTTCGTTTTAAGGTTCAATGAGGTCATACAGTTGGGTATGGTAAAACAAGATCAATTCGTCAGCATTTTTTGTAAGTTAGGATTCTTTGGAAAACCAATATAATGTTCCGTGTATAGTTTTTATCATAATTTGTTTTCTGTTAGAGACATACGGAGAGGTGATTAAAATTCCTATATTAATATTTATATATTGGCTGTGTGAGCAAGATGTTTTTAAAATTTGATAAATAAGAACGAATTATGTACCAATGTCAATTTCAATTTCCAACTTTATGTGTAATGTGTGTGTAATAATTTATTTACGTACTTTCATATCTAATCAATTTTTAACTTGGTCAGACATAAAAGTCTGCTTAAAATGTTACCATTATCATCATACCAGCCGTTAACTGTCTGGGGGGTTTTGCCAGTAGTTGCCACTCTTGGTAGGTGGATTGGCAGCCGTATTTAGGTTTTGGTGAAGTTTTAAGAGGCCGCTGCTGTTCATCTCTCGACCTTTAAACTCCCTTAGTTTCTCTTATGACACCCACGGGAAAGGAAGTGGTAGCCTAGTACATGCACAGACTAGATAGTTTAAGATATACTCTATTTTAATATAATTTGATAAAAAGGTAAACGTAACAAGTTTTGCGAAAATAATCATAGAAATATTCTCTAAATGACATCAATAATAAATTAAAACATTTAGTCAATAAATAAATTATTTTTATTTGAATTGGACATTATCAATTACCAAATAGACAATTATCAACTCTATCGAATCTCGATACGACATCACCAACACTACATTTAACAATATCTGTATTAATTCATTAATTGGTTATCCACAAGATAATGACTAAATAATAATTTATCCGATATCTCAACTTTATTTTACTCTAAAGAATAAATAGATTTTAGTATATTTTTTTTTGTATAATATTGATATTATATTATAATATAATTTATAACAAAAAATACTTATTCTTCCTCACTTCTTCATTTGACAGTCACCTAGCGTTTCATACGCCGCCAAACGCCTTAGTAAATAATAGTCCGACTTAACCCTATAATATATCAGTTTACTTTATCTAAAATCTAATAAATGGTTATTTGATCCAGGGAAGGCCAAAAAGGTCGAAGGTGAGAATAAATTCTCTAGCTCATGCAATTTAGATGTTGCTCTGTGGAATGCTATTAAAGTTGAAAGTAGCTAACGAATATTGAATTTTAAAGATTAAAACTGTGAGCGTTCTGATTAGAGGTATTGAAATTTAGATATAGTCTATTTCTGTAGAATTTAATGAAATAGTAATTAAGTTTTGTTAAAATAATCATAGAAACACTCAAATTCAAAT